TTTTCTACATATGGTACCACTCAGAGTTTCCAGGGCTTGGGACCTGGAGCTCTTTGGGGGTCAGTTTTCAGCCGACCATGCCTCTCTAAGCCTCAGTTCGCTCCACTGTAAAATAGGATACTGTGAGGATGCACTGATGTATCCAGAGAAGCGCTCAGAACAACGCCGGGCTTAGCACGAGGACTCAATAAAAGGGAGGCGGGGAGCCTCATTTAAAGTTTCCCCTTTGAAAAAAAAAATTTTTTTTTAATAAAAAATAAAATAAAGGGGCACCTGGGTGGCTCAGACGTTAAGCGTCTGCCTTCGGCTCGGGTCATGATCCCAGGGTCCTGGGGTCGAGCCCCGCATCGGGCTCCCCGCTCGGCGGGAAGCCTGCTTCTCCCTCTGCCTTCCCCCTGCTTGTGCTCCCTCTCTCTCTGTGTCTCTGTGTCAAATAAATAAATAAAATCTTAAAAAGTAAATAAATAAATAAATAAATAATAAAATAAAATAAAAATAAACGTTTCCGGGCGCCTGGGTGGCTCAGTTGGTTGAGCGACTGCCTTCGGCTCAGGTCATGATCCTGGGGTCCCGGGATCGAGTCCCGCATCGGGCTCCCTGCTCGGCGGGGAGTCTGCTTCTCCCTCTGACCCTCCCCCCTCTCATGTTCTCTCTCTCTATCTCATTCTCTCTCTCAAATAAATAAATAAAATCTTAAAAAAATAAAATAAAATAAACGTTTCCACTTTGGGCCTCAGTTTCTCTACCTGGAAAATGGGGAAAGAGGGGTGTGGAGTTCAGGGGTTTCCAGCTTTCATTCCCTGAGGCGATTCCTCCCCCCCCCTTTTTTTTTGTTTTTTTGAAGAGGGAGGCCCTGAGAGGAGACATCCCCACGTCTGGGAGGTGGCCAGGCCAGGATGGAAAAGCCACATCAGTGTCCCCTGGAGCTGGGGAGGAAATGGCCGCAGCCGCACCCCCAACGACAGCCAGGCCAGAGGCGGTCCCCAGCTTAGGCAGGTGGCAGGAGGCTGAGGACGGTCCCAGACGGCCATGCACTCACACGAGCAATTTCTTTGCATCTCTACTTGCTCCCTCTGAGGGCCATCGGGGGTCATTCCCCAACTGCCTCTGCCTCTGTCTCTGTCTCTGTGCTTCTCTCAGGTGGAGAGATCTCTCTCCCTCTCTGACCACCCTGGAGTCAGTCCGTCAGCGGTCTCTGTCCCTCTATCTCTCTCACTGCCTCTCCCCCTCTGTCTCTCTGGATCTCTCTCCTTCTCTGACTCTGCACAGGACTCTCCCCTCCTCAGCCCGGGGAAGCCCCCGAAACCTGTGGACCTCCCTCAGGACCCAGCAGGCAGGTAGGAACCAGGCGAGGCCCAGGTGAGTCATGAGGAGGAAAGAGCGGACATTCCTGCCACTTTTCTGGGATTGTGCACACACCCAGCCTCCTGCCTGCCCCCTCCCGTGACACGTCACTGGACCTCACAGGTGTGTGTCACCTGAGGGAGAGACAGAGGGAACGAGTCACAGAGAGACAGAGACAGAGAGACAGGCCTAGAGAGACATTAAAAACAGAGACAGAGAGACAGAAAAGAGAAGCAGAGAGAGAGACAGGAAGAGACAGGAAAAAAGATACAGAGACACAGACAGGGAGAGATATCATGACAGAGTCAGAAAGAGAGAGACACAGGGATTGAGAGAGACAAACAGAGACAGAGACAAAGAAAAAGACCAAAACAGAAAAAGACGGACAGAGAGACACAGGAGGGGAACAACAGATTTTGAGAGACTAGAGCGGTCTGAGGTGGGGGTGGGCGGGCTCCAAGATATTCCCCTCATTCTTTAAATAAAAAAACAAATAAAAAGGGATGACCTCAGGGCAGTGAGGTCATCCTCCCAGGAAGCTGGATCGCAAGCCCAACTTTCTATTTCCCCACCTCAGTTGGTCTTCACACCAACAGCAAGAGGGGCCCTACTTTCCACTTGAGGGAAGCCTAGGCTCTCACGGGAAGACATCTGTTGGCCCAGGGTAGCCAAGGAGTAGTCCAGTCCTGCAGCCATGACCTCCCCTGACCTCAAACCCTCTCCCCACCCCCATGGAGAGAAAGCTCTGGAGAGCGGGCCCAGCAATAATCAATGGTGGTTACTGTCTTTTTCCGCACACCAGGCACGGTGGCAAGCACCCTGGGTGCATTGTTTTATGCCCCTAGCACACCAGCCCTGGGAGAGAGGCACTGGTGAGGGAGCTGGAGGCACAGAGAGGTTAAGTAACCTGCCCAAGCCCACACAGCAGTGAGTAGCTGGAATTTGGACCCTCCCAGTCTGGTGCCAGCTCCCATATCTTAAACACTAGGCTCTACTGCCTCTTAGAAGAGAGGATTTCTTTGGGACTTCTCTTGCTTTACCTTAAAATTATTACCTTAAGGCTTCAATGAATTAGTAAAAATAATAATGCTATCCTCATTATTATAGTGGTAGAGGTCGCTACTGCTTAACTCATTGTCTGCTGTCCTTGGCCTCCCCTATTCTGTTCAGCCCCCACACTGGCCACTTGCTGTTTCTAGAGCTCAACAGGACACCCCCGCCTCAGGACTTTGCACTGGCTGCTGCCTCTCCCTGGAACTCTTCCTGGATCATCTACCCAACTTCTGCCCTCACCACATTCACCCTTTGCTCAAATGCCACCTGCTCAGGGAAGGTGGGGCAGCACCACCCCACCTAAAACTAACCATGCCTCACTTGTATCCTTGTACTTTCTGCCTCCTGGTTTGTTCTCTGTTTTACTTATTGCTGCCTGACAGTCATAGATTAAATAACACATATTTACTCTTCATTGTCAAGGGCAGGGACTACGCTTTGTTTCCTGCTGTGTCCCCAGCTCCTCCTGGATCAGTGCCTGGTACAGAGTAGGTTCTTGGTAAATGCTGAAGGAATTTGTTGAGCCCTCCTTGTGGGTCAGCAACTATTTCAGGCATTTTCACCTGCGTTAAATTGCTCTGATGGGTCGGAAACACATGGAGGTGGAGAGACTAGATGATTTTATCTTTTACATTTTATTTTACCTTTTTTTTTTTTAAGAGAATGAGAGGGAGAGCAATGGGAGGAGGGAGTGGGTGGGCAGAGGGAGAAGGAGAGAGAGAATCTTAAGCAGGCTCCATGCTCAGCATGGACCCCGATGGGGGGCTCCATCTCACCACCTAGAGACCATGATCGGAGCAGAAGTCAAGACAGACGCCTAACCAACTGAGCCACCCAGATGCCCCTACATTTTATTTTACTTTTTTTTTTTTTTTTAAGATTTTTATTTATTTATTGAGAGAGAGAGAGAATGGTAGAGAGAGAGCATGAGAGAGAAGAAGGTCAGAGGGAGAGACAGACTCCCTGCTGAGCAGGGAGCCCGATGCGGGACTCGATCCCGGGACTCCAGGATCATGACCTGAGCCGAAGGCAGTCGCTCAACCAACTGAGCCACCCAGGCACCCTTATTTTACTTTTTAAAAAACTTAGTGAGGACCTTTACAAACACGCAGAAAAAGGAAACAGAATGGCATGTAAGTTACCCTGATAAAAAACTGATACGAGTATTTTGCCTTTCTTTTTTCCTAAAGCATTTAAAGTAAATGCAGACAGCCATGACATTCACCTCTAGGTATTTCAGCATCTGTAAAAACTAAGAACAATTTCCCACATAACCACAAAACCATTTTCATAACAGCAATATCTACTTCTTGGCTGAAGTGTTTGAAGGTAAATTAGAGACATTATATTCTTTCACCCCTCAAATATTCCAGTGTGCATCTCTGATGATACAGACATTTCCCCACATAACCACAACATCATTATCTTTCCTAACAAAACTAACAAAAACTCTAACGATAACTAATGATCAGCCACAAATGTCCCATCAGGACAAGTTTCTTTTTTTTAAATTTTATTTAAATGCAATTAATTAACAGATGGTGTATTATTAGTTTCAGGGGAAGAGTTCAGTGATTCATCAGTTGCATATAACACCCAGTGCTCATCACATCAGGGACCCTCCTTAATGCCCGTCACCTGGTTAACCCATCCCCCCACCCCCTCCCCTCCAGCAACCCTCAGTTTTGTTTCCTAGAGTTCAGGGTCTCTTATGGCTAGTCTCCCTCTCTGATTCCCTCAGGACAAGTTTTAATCGGAGTGCTGAGGTCCTTTGCCCAAGGTCCCAGAGCAGGAGGAAGGAGAATTGGAAGTTTTGGGTTTTGTTTTTTTTGGTTTTTTTTTGGTGAAACAAAATGTATTTTATTTCAGGGGTGCCTGGGTGGCTCAGTCAGTTAAGCGTCTGCCTTCGGCTCAGGTCATCATCCCAGGGTCCTGGGATTTAGCCCCGCATCGGGCTCCCTGCTCCCCGAGAAGCCTGCTTCTCCCTCTCCCACTCCCCCTCCTTGTATTCCTTCTCTCGCTGTGTCTCTCTCTGTCAAATAAATAAAATCTTTAAATATATATATATATTTTTTATTTCAATTATACTGGCACAAGAAGGCCCAGGAAGACCATGGGGAATGCTCAGCACCAGCAGCTAAAGCCCACACCGGCTGGTGGGGACTGCTGTTAGCCCACGAGCCCCTGCCGCATCTGTATGATCTGGAGTAAGGCGGCACATCTTCGTCCGTGTGACCCTGTTTAGCACCAAGAAGATGTGTCCGATAAACTGCAATCAGGGCTTGGAGCTGCTGCAGGGACTTCACTCGGTGCTGCAGGGTGTCCCTCAGCTGGCCCTGCCTCTTGCTGGAACTCGCGCTCTGGGAAGTGAGCTGTGAAAGCCCACTGAGTGTGCGCCCCTGCAGCGTGGAGACAGCTGTGTGACCACTGCCACATGAGTCAGAGCCGAGCCTACCCCCCCCCCCCACTCCTGGCTGGCCGCGCCCTGGCAAAGGAAGTTTTTGAGGAGGAGGGGTCAGAGGGAGAGGAGGGGGAAGCACCTACGCATCTGGGGCTGACTCGCTCTTTCGCAAAATCTCTGGGAGGAGCCCCGGGGGCACAAAACTGTCTGGTTGCCCGGGCCAGACTGAGAGGGGCAGGGAGCCACACGGACTGGAGCTGCGGCCAGACATGGGCCGCCCGGGGCTGCTGCCGCTGCTGCTGCTTTCGCTTCAGACCTGCGTTCCAGGTAGGGACCCGGTGCCCAAAACACCTGCGCGGGACACCGGGGTCCGAACGTAGTGAAGAGGGGGGAGGGGCGGGGGGCTCCGAGCTGGAGGAGTTGGAGGAGGGCGGCTCAGCCCCCAGCCCTCCCCGTCACGCTGCAGCCAGCTGCAGCCCCACGCAGCACAGGACCTGGCCAGCAGTCCGTGCTCGCGAAATACTCGTCGAGCGAAGGCTGTTAACGGCCACGGAGTGAGTGCGCTCCTCTAAGCTCCTTCCCTGCAGTTTCAAACTGGACGGGCAGAACTATTCTAGCCCTGTTTCACAGAGAAGGGAACAGGCTCAGAGCGGTCCTGGAGTAAGGGGGATTCTGGCCCACAGCTCTCCGCCCCCGCACCGACCCAGGCCCTGGAAAGACCGGGAGCACGGAGCCTCCTGTTACAAAAGATCTAAACAGAGAGGCCGAACGTCGCAGAGACAGGGGCTGGGGGAAGCCAGGGCTTGTCCCTGGAGGACCCTTCCCTTTCACTATCCCCTAGCTACCCTCTCAACTCCTTTCCCGGGAAATGTACGGGAGAGGGTCGAAAAGCGAGAGGAAATTGAGAAGGAACTGGTCAGGGCGGGGCGGTTCAGCCATGAATAACCCGGAAAGGTCTCCGGATCTTTCGCGGCCAGGAATGAGTAATGACTCTAGAAGACTGCGAATTTGTGGTGGGGAATGGACCCCCAGCAGGAGAGGCGGGGTGGGAGGGTAAGGAGTTGGGGCGGGGCTAGTGGGCCAACTTGTAACCACGGGACGCGCTAGTGGGAAGGGCGAGAAACTCGGGGGAGGAGCTGGGGGCGGGGCGAGAGCCTCGCGCGAGGAGCTGAGGGGCTGGGAGAGAACTTCGGGGAGGCTACTGCAGTTGGGGTTAGAACTTCCCGAGGGCTGATGGGCGAAGTTAAAACTTCGGCCTGGACTGATGGGCGGGGAGAGAATGCTGGGGAGAGGCTATGGAAAGTAGAGTCTGGGGGCATTAAGGGCGGGGATAGCCAGTGGGGGTCACCGGGAACTGGGGTAGAACGTAAAGATCGGCTGCAGTTGGTTGAGGGTAGAACTACCTTAGGAGAGGTTGCAAAGCCAAATAGACCGAGGGCCGGTGGAATGGGGGAAAGGACCTAAACTGGAGCTGGGCTGGAATATTCTGATGGACAGAGAGGGTGGGGATTGGACTCAGGATAGGCCCCGCGCTGATACAGAATTCAAGGGCAAATCAGCCAGGGCGTGACTTTAGGGAAAGACTGTTGGAAGGGATAGAACATTAGGGTAGGGGGTGTAGATAAAACGTGGGGTTACAGATAGACCGGAAGCACTGCTGACCCGAACCCAGTGTTGGAACCAAAGGGCGGACAAAATGTGGAGCACGAACCTGAGTGCACAAGGCCTGGAGACTTGGTCCTGGTATTGGGGCATGAAGGAGCAGGGAGGGGGAGCACCGCTCAATCTCTCCTCTCTTCCCACTTACCCCGCAGCCTCCTGGAGCCTGCAGTGCATGCTGTGTGGGAGGATCGGGAAGTGCCAGGTGGAAGAGTGTGCCCGTGGCCAGGACCTCTGCAGGACCACCATCATGCGCATATGGGAAGGTGAGATTCCCCACTACAGCGACGGGGAACCTTATTTCACCAGTAATCAGGGAAATGCAAACGAAAAAGACAAGGAGACCCTATCTCATACCCACCAGATAGACAAGCTTTTAAACAATTTGACAATGCAGAGGTGGATGAGGATGTGAAGCTGCAGACCCGGCTAATGAGGATAAATTCGTGCATGCACCGCACAGAGCAATTTGGCAATACCTAGTACAGATGACGATTAGCATACCCTCCTGCCAGCAATCCAACTTCTAGGAATATAGAAACCCCACAGAACCTTGGGCACACATGTAAGAATGTTCTTAGGAGTTCCGTGTAAGAATGTTCTTAGCAGTTATGTTTGTGATACAGGTTAGTCATCAGTCGAGGAGAAACATTATGGTATAATCACACAATGGAATGCTCCACAGCAGTTTTGTTTTTTTTTAAAGATTTTATTTATTTGACAGAGACAGCGAGAGAGGGAACACAAGCAGGGGGAGTGCGAGAGGGAGAAGCAGGCTTCCCACGGAGTGGGGAGCCCGATGCGGGGCTCGATCCTAGGACCCCGGGATCATGACCTGAGCCGAAGGCAGACGCTTAACGTCTGAGCCACCCAGGCGCCCCTCTCCACAGCACTTTAAATGAAGGAACTTGAGCTGTAGGTATTAAAGTGGATACATCTCAAAAACATCCGGTTGAGAGGGGAAAAAAAAACATGTTTCAGGGTATGATACCTTTTAATATAAATAGTATATAACAATATGCAATAAATAACGTATAAATAAATGATAGTATACATTATTATGTGTACCTAGGGTGAAAATCACCTACACCAGTGGTTGCTTCTGGACAGGGCATAAGGGGACTGGGATTTGGGGGAGTGAGCAGGAGGCTTTAACTCTATCTTTCAAATTTAAGTTCTTTTAAAAAATATCTGACACAAATATAGCAAAATTTTCCAATATTTTATAAAATTTGGTGATGAATGCATAGTTATTTATTGTATCGTTCTCTTATGCTTTTTGGCAGGCTTGTAACATTTTTCCTTTAAAGATTCCTATTAGAGGCATCTCCCTGCTAAAATCACTAAGCTGGGGGCGCCTGGGTGGCTCAGTTGGTTGGGCGACTGCCTTCGGCTCGGGTCATGATCCTGGAGTCCCGGGATCGAGTCCCACATCGGGCTCCCTGCTCGGCGGGGAGTCTGCTTCTCCCTCTGACCTTCCCCTCTCTCATGTGCGCTCTCTCTCTCTCTCTCTCTCATTCTCTCTCTCAAATAAATAAATAAAATCTTTAAAAATAAATAAATAAATAAATAAATAAATAAAAAATAAAATAAAATCACTAAGCTGGGAGGGAGGGGTAGATGGATCCAGACAGCCTCAGTGATAGTGTGGTCACTAAGAGGGAGTAGGCTTCCTGTGGTGGGAGGGCGAGGAGAGGAGACAGCTGGACCCCAGAGAAGAGGCCTGGCAAGGATCAGCCCCGGAAGTGGGTGACCTTAGGACCAGGAGCATCAGAGACTGGTTGGGCCCAGGGCAGCCTTTGGGGTGACAAAGATACATTCTTCACAGGAGGTGAAGAGCTGGAGGTGGTGGAGAGAGGCTGTGCCCACCCAGAGAAGAGCAACAGGACCATGAGCTATCGGACAGGCATGCAGATCATCACTCTTACGGAGGCCCTGTGTGGGACTGACTTGTGCAACCGACCCACCCCTGGTGAGCTGGGCAGCCCTCACGATCCCCAACCCCGCGCCCATCATTCTCCTGATCCTGTCACCATCAGCCCCAACTCTCAAATGCCAGTTTAACAAAAAGACTTAGAGAGGCTCAAGTTCTCCAGTTCCTGCAGGAGGGGGTGGAAAGCAATGGATCCGTGTTGCATGGTCATGCGTGCAGATTCCTCTTTCTGGGCCTGGCAAGACAGGAAATTGGTTAAGGCCAGGCCCGTCCCAGTGACGTCAGTAAGCAGAGCACCTACGTTTGCCCTGTTTCTCGTTCAGCCATGCTGACCTCAAAGTTTTGTCTGTTGACAGAGACTGAATCAGATGTTTATTTTCAAGGAAGTGACAAGAGAGGGGACACTGGCTTCAGCTTTCTGTTAGATGTGCTTAAGGAAAGCACTGATAATTGGGTCTAAGTAATTGTTTGGATCATAGATAATATTCAGAAGATTTAACAATATCAGTCAATGCAGAAGGCATTGATCAATCCTGGACCCCCCTCTTTAGCTGATGGATCTTGGAGACATGGGATTCTAAAGAGAGACTTGGGAGTGGTCAAGGGTCCACCAGCAAGCTTGGAGCGCAGCTGTCAATTCAGTAACTTAATAAGTGGTAAAGCGATTATTAGCCCCCATTTCTCAGGCCATTTTACGCTGCTTGTGGTGACTGGAATAGTTTGTTAAACCAAATCCTGTATTTATATGATACTGGGGATACAGATGTGACCAAGACAGCTTTGGGCCTTACCATGGGCTTACAGTCAGTGGGGTGGGAGTGGGGGTGACAGACCCATCACCAAGCAGTGACTGCTCAGCTTAGTCAGAGCCAGGATGGGGAAGCACAAACAGAGGGGTCCAGGACCATGAGACCTCTGGTCTGAGAGGGGCCAGAGCTGTAGTTGGGAAGCACGGTCCAGAATTTTCAGGGCTGAGATAAGGGAAACAGCGGCCAGAGTGATCAGGGCTGGGATGAATGAAGAATAGGGGCTGTGGGACCCTCGGGGAGATACTGGACTCAGGTCAAAGAAGTTTTCCTCCAGGAAGCAAAAACTAAGCTGGATCTTGAGGGATGAGCAGGAGTCAGACTGTTAAAAAGACAGTGGAAAGGGTTTTCTAGGAAGAGCGACAGACACCAAGGCCCAAAGGTGGATGAAAGTAGTATGACTGGAGGAAGGAGAAAACAGCAAGACGAGCTGGAAATTGGCAGGGTCATATTACACAGGGCCTTCTAGGTTGTGGTGAGGGGTATAGACCATACGGGGAACAGGGGGAGGTCATAAAAGGGTTGAGGTTTTTTGGTTGGTTGGTTGGTTTTTTAGATTTATTTATTTATTTGAGAGAGAGAGCACACAACAAGTGGGGGGAGGGGCAGAGGGAGAGAATCTCAAGCAGACTCCCCACTGAGCAAGAAGCCTGATGCAGGGCTTGATATCATGAGCCATGAGATCGTAACCTGAGCCAAAACTATGAGTCAGACGCTTAACCGACTGAGCCACCCAGGTGTCCCAAGGGTTTTTGTGGGTTTTTTAAAGATTTTTTTTTTTTATTTATTTGAGAGAGAGAGTGTGTGTGTGAGCAGGGGGAGGGGCAGAGGGAAAGAGAGAATCTCAAGCAGACTCCCCACTGAATGTGGAGCCAACGGATTGGGCGGGGGAGGAGGCTCAAGCCCACAACCATGAGATCATGACCGGAGCGGAAACCAAGAGTCTGACACCCAACCGACTGAGTCATCCAGGTGCCCCGGTCATAAAAGCGTTTTAAGCAGAGAGTGTCATGATCAGATTTGTACTTTTGAACAAATTATTCTGACCTCAGAGGAGAGCAATGATGGAGGGAAAGAAGATGAGGGCAGTCCAACTGGGAGGTGGGTGAGGTTGTCCAGGTGAAGAAGAGAGTAACTACATTAGAAGGTCAACCATGCACATGGAGATAAGTGGGTGGATTTTAAGAACTCTTTAGCAGGTAGATGAGCAGTACTTAGTGATGGATTAGACATGGGGGTGGGTTTGCAGTTCTGGTCATGATGGAGTCACATGTATCAGACTAATCTGCCAATGAAAGCCAGAAAAGCTGGACAAATCATAAACAATTACTTGAGGTCACTGGAGAGCAGCTAATGAAGAGAGGACCTTGAGGTGCTACAATCTTTGAAATAAGGGAAGCACGGAAATTGAGTTATGCAGAAAGCTGGCTTTATCCTTGAGTGCACTTTCCAATTCACTGCTGTGAAGGGGAAATAAAACCCAAATAAGAGAGATCATTGCTAGACTGAGAAGCCAGGGGTTAGAGTCTCTCTGGCTGCCAGAGCATCTGAAGAATGAGAGGTAGAGTCCAGGAACATATGAAACCACAGAAAAGGGAGTCCCCAAATCTGCATATTTCCTTTAAGTCGTTGGCAAGCTGTACATGCACAGGGTGAGACTCCAAGGAACTCAGCAGAAAATAGTATCTGGGAAGCTACAGAACTGAAAAAGGATTCCAGCAGGCATATGATGCTAGGGAAACCAAAGTTGCAAAGTTGGAGAGAGAGGCCTTGGTAACCACCCCAAGCTTTCTGCTGAGACCATACCCTAGGTGTAAGGGCAAAACTGAAAGAGACCAGCCCTAAAGATTCCTACATCTGATCTTCAGTGAGAAGAAAACTGACCTTCTTGGGAAGAAAATAACATTATTTAGAGCCCTTCCAAATTTTCATTGTGATGTCTGGCATCTAATCAAAACTTACAAGGTACCCCAAAGAAAATTGAAAGGACCAATTAACAAGAAACCTAGAGACAAATCCAACAGTAGAAACAGAGTCATAACGATTCAGATAGTGGAGTTATTAGGGACATTTAAAATAGCCATGATCAATATGGTCCAAAACAGGGGCACATGGGTGGCTCAGTCATTAAGTGTCTGCCTTCGGCTCAGGTCATGATCCCAGGGTCCTGGGATCGAGCCCCGCATCCGACTCTCTGTTCAGCGGGAAGCCTGCTTCTCCCTCTCCCACTCCCCCTGCTTGTGTTTCTTCTCTCTCTGTGTCTCTCTCTGTCAAATAAATAAATACAATCTTTAAAAATATACATATAGTCCAAAAAAATAGGGAGGATAAACTTTAACAGAAATGTGGACTCCATTTTTTTAAGAGTCAAACAGGAAACACAGAATAGTGACTGAAATTAAGAACTCAACAGATGTGCTTAATAGAGCCCAGAAGCAGTGGGGCAAAAGGATTAAAGAACTAGAAGACAGGGCAGGAGACGGCTCCAGATTGGTGCCTAGATGTGGAGGATCAAGGAACCTGCCAGGTTTCTGCCCTGGGGGACTGAATGGGACCACCACAGAGATATGGAATTCAGGAGAGAAAGACCCGTTTAGAGAAGATGGAGAGCTTCCTTTTGTGCCTGAAGAGATTCAGGGGTTTGAGGGACGGCCAGAGGGATTCTCCAGGAGGCAGTTGGGTATACAGGTGTGGAGCTCAGAGAGAAGTTCCCAGCAGACGTGTGGAAATGAAGCCAGGTCAATGGATAACATCCCCATGGGAGAGAATGTGCACCGTGAGAAATGAAAAGGGCCTAAGACAGAACCCTGAGGATGACCCACATTTAGAAGAGCGACATAAGAACAAGAGTTTATGAGGGGACCTGAGGGTGTTATGATGGCGGTGATGGCAATCCGTGTTTTCATTTTCATGGAAGTTCATGTGAGAAGACATGGGTTGTTGGCATTTTAATTATTTTTTCTTTAGGGTTGGGGAAGATTTGGCCTTGGATGTAAGTGATTCCCCTAATTCCAGCAGCTGGCCTACCAGCTGAGAGAGTGGCTGAGACAGCCCTCTCCCTTATGTAGGATTGGCCCCAACTCAACTTGGATATTTGGGGTCAGGAAGGGGAGGGCATGCCAGGCTTCGGAATGGTGGGAGGAATGACTCTAGAGGAATCTAGAGGAATGACTCCAGAGAAATGACTCTAGTGTTTCCAGGGAAAAATAATTCACCTCCTTGGCCTGGACCAGCAGGTGTGAGAGGCTTATCACAGATCAATCATCAAGTGAGGCTTGGATCCCTGACCCGATTGGGTAGTACATTAATTATCTATCGCCTCAGTACAGATTGTCCCAAAACTTAAAACAAAAATGAGCAGGTATTATTTCACAAAGTTTCTGAAGGTCAGATTCTGAAGGATCTGGAAGTGGCTTAAGTAGGATGGTTCTGGATCTTTCATGAGGTTGTGGTCAAGACGACAGCGGAGCTGCCATCATCCCAAGGCTCCCAAGGGAGATTTACTCACGTGGCTGGTCCCCTCCCGTGGCTTGGACAAAGGCCTCAGTTCCTCGCCACGTAGACCTCGCCATGGGGTGTTTGAGTGTTCTAACCGCATGACAGCTGGACTTCCTCCAGACCAAGTAATCTAAGAGAGAGCCAGGAAGAAGTTGCGATGCCTTTTATGATCTAGCACAGGAGTCATACATCATCATTTCCGCAATATCCCATTAGTTACACAGGCCAGCCCTATTCTTTGTGTGTGCGTACCAGGAAACAGGTCACTGGGGGCCGTCTCGGAGGTTGGCTACCACAAAGAACAATAGCAGGGTTTTAAGCAGTTCTTCATTCATTCATTTAACAAATACTTACTGGATGTCTTCTCTGGCTCTGGCCCTGTGCTGGGTGGTGTTGGGACACAGTAATGATCAGGACAGCCCTGGCCCTACTTCCTGGGGCTCAGAGTCCAGTCAGACGGGGATGACCCAAAGTGGGTGTGGCTGGGATTGGGGAGCCTGGTGGGACACACTGATGCAGCCTCAGAGGTCAGGGAGGACTTCTTAGAGGAGGTGAAATTTGAGAAGATGATGCCTGAAGAATGAGTAGGAGAAGACAGGGAAAGTAAGGAGCCAAGGGAGCGTGTTCTAGGCAAGGGCTGGATGCCAGTCAGCATATACATTCAGGGACTGTGGGAAGTCATGGGGAGTAGAGTCTGAGGGGCTAGTGGAGGGAGATGAGACAGGAGAGGTGGCTGGGACCCAGAGGTCCACATGGAGTAGCTTGGATATTATTCTGAGAGCACTGGGGAGCCATGGAGAGGTTTTGAGCGGAGCAGGTAGGGTCAGATTTGAGTATTAGAAACATCCTCCTAGGGCCATGTGGGGCTGCACCGGGTGGGGTTGGGGGGCAAGGATGGAAATCAGGAGGCCAGGTGTTTGAAGAAGTTCTGACTTGGTCATGGGGCTGGAAAGGAGGGGATGGATGCTAGAAAGATTCAGGAGGTGGGATAGGCAGGGCTTTGGTGATTGGCTAAAGGAGAAATTGATGCTTAGGTGAGTCTTCAAAGGAGCTAGATTTCTGGAACTCTCCCCATGGGGTCTCACCCTCCTGCCCCTCCCCAAACAGGTCGGACCTCCACCTTTCCCCGAATCCGAAGCCGTTACCTTGAATGTGTTTCCTGCGCCTCATCAGATCTGAGCTGTGAGAGGGGCTGGGACCAGAGCCTGCAATGCCGCAGCCCTACAGAACAGTGCGTGGAAGTGGTGACCCACCGGAGCCTGGAAGGTGAGCTCCAACCTGCCAGCAGCATCTCCCCCCTGCATTGCTCCTCCCCAAGGCTGCCCTTAACAAGGACCCCAGAATAACAAGGATTTAAGCAAAGTAGAAATTTAGTTCTCTCACACACAAAAAGTCTAGTGATAGGAAGTCCTGAGCCACTAGGACAGTTCTACCATCACCAGGAACCCAGATGCTTTCTCATTTCTTGAATATTGTTTCCATTCTCACAATTGCCTCATAGTCCAACATAGCTGCCAGAGCTCCAAACCTCATGTCCAAGTTCCAGGAAAGAGAAAGAAGAAAAGGAACAAAAAATAGGCACCCCTCCTTTTGTGGGGGTTCTCCCTTCTGGAAGTCCCATAAAACCCTCCTATTTATATCACATTGACCAGAACTTAGCCACATGATTATACCTATGGAAGCTGGAAAATGTGGTTTTGCCTAGATATATGGCTGCCCCAAATAAAATGAGCGTCCTATAATGAACAGTGAGGCAGGAAATGGACAGATGACTGCTGCAGTGGTGGGCAAAGCCAGTCTCAGCCCCCGAACAATCTGACCTCTCTCTTCTGCTCCCGACAGAAAGTCTAAGGGACGAGCACCACACCCGCGGCTGTGGCAACCTTCCGGGCTGCCCAGGCCCCACCGGTTTCCACAACAACCACACCTTCCACTTCCTGCAGTGCTGCAACACCACCAAATGCAATGGAGGCCCAGGTGAGGGGCAGGGGACCCACGCAGCATGAGGCCGGGGTTCGGGGCAGGAGGTGTACCCAGGCTGCTGCCCCTCACTCGCAGGCCACCGCTCCTCTCTAGGTGGCCATCTCCCCTGAAAGCCCCTCCTCAAAGAAGGCTTGTGTGGAAATTCAACGTGCCCATCAAAGCTTTACCAAAGACCCCTGCTTTATACTTCCTTGAATCCTTCCGCAGCTCACCGCCCTGGTCCATGCCACCGGGGAGCTCTTGCCTAGATTGCTGTGATAACCTTCTCACTGGTCCCCCTGCTTCCGCTTCTGCCTCCTACAACCAATGCTCAACACAGCAGCAAGGGTGATTTCTTAAAAATGTAAACTAGAGCATGTCACTCTCCTTCCTCAGGCACTGCAGCAACTCTTCTTTGCTCACAGAGTAAAATCTAAAGACCATCCTATGCCCTATGTAATCTGGCACCTGTCTGCCTCATGGTCTACACTGAGTTCCTGCAACTGCCAAACTCTGTCCTGCCGCATGGCCTTCGCGCATTCAGTACCCTCCACCAGGAACACATCTCCCCCAAGAGTTTACCTGGCTGGCTTCTTCTCATTGGTTAGGTCTCAGCTTTAAAGTATTGTCCTCAGGGAAACATTCCCTGTCCCTCCCCTCCACTATAATCTCGCTCCTTGGTGTCATTCTGTCTCCATAAACCAGTACTGTCCAATAGAACTTTCCACGGTGATAGAAATGTTCCATATCTGTACTGTCCAATATGGTAGCCACTAACTCGTATGGCTGTTGAGCACTTGAAATGTGAAACTGAACTTTGAATTTTAGTTAATAGGAATTCATTTCAGTGTAAATGTAAACAACCACAGGTCGCTAGTGGCTACCATATTGGACAGTGTAGGTCTAAGTGGTAAGTGCTCCAGGGCAGGGACTGTTTCGTCTTCCACAGCTGCTCGCCCAGTGCCTGGTCAGATAGGGGCTCAGGAGGAGCGGCGAGGTGGGATCTCTCTCGCAGGTTCTATAAAGAACCCCCTGAGAAGGGGCGCCTGGGTGGCTCAGTCAGTTAAGCGTCTGCCTTTGGCTCCCGTCATGATCTCAAGATCCTGGGATTTAGTCTCATATCTGGCCCCCAGCTCAGCGGGGAGTCTGTTTCCTCTCCCTCTGCCCCTCCCCCCGCTCATGCTCGTGCTCTCTCTCCCGCTCTCTCTCTCACATAAATAAATAAAATCTTAAAAAAAAAAAAAAAGCCCTCCCCTCCGGAGACAGTGCTGTTCCAATGCCTGACCACTAGGTGGCTCCATGACATTTCAGGCTGCGAGTTGACAGTCCTAGGGGAGGTAATGCAAGGAAGGACATCCCTCCACCCCACCTGCCCGCACCCCCATACTAATTTCCTTGGTTTCTGTGTCACTTGTCTTCTCCCAAGTCCTGGAGCTTCAAAACCTGCCTCTGAATGGCCTCCAATGTTACAGCTGTGAGGGGAACAGCACCCATGGATGTTCCTCCGAGGAGATTTCCCTGACCGCCTGCCAAGGCCCCATGAATCAATGCCTGGAAGCCACGGGCACTAATGGTGAGCCCTTCCAGGAGGCTGGGAGAGGATACTTGTGGGTGGGGGCTTGTCGGCCACAGGTCGACTTCACGGAGCTGGGTCTTACGGTGGAAAAGGTAGGACTTCCTTCAGGAGGGTGCAAAGTGTCATCAGGAATGAGGACTTCATTAAGAAATGAGCGTTCCCGGGCGCCTGGGTGGCTCAGATGGTTAAGCGTCTGCCTTCGGCTCAGGTCACGATCCCAGAGTCCTGGGATCGAGTCCCACATCGGGCTCCCTGCTCCTTGGGAGCCTGCTTCTCCCTCTGCCTCTCTCTCTCTCTCTCTCTCAATCATGAATAAATAAATTTAAAAAATCTTTAAAAGAAAAAAAAAGAAATGAGCATTCCCGCCACAGAAATGTGGACCTCTCTGGGGGTGGAACTTCCCACGAGGGGGTGGGACTTCCTGTGGATGTGGCGGGCTTCCATCCTGTGCCATCCTGAGCGGCTCTCTGTTCCAGGGGTTCTCAAACCTTTTCATCTCAAAATTCCTTCCTGCTCTTAAAAATTATTACTTACGGCAGATACAGCTATAGATATTTACTGCATTAGGAGTTAAAACAGATATTTTAAGAGATGTAAATTATTAATTTATTTATTACTTATTTTTTTAGAGAGAGCCCGCAAGTGGGGGATGGAGAGAGGGCAGAGGGAGAGGGAGAGAGAGAATCTTAAGCAGGCTTCATGCCCAGCATGGAGCCCAAATCAGGGCTTGATCTCATGACCCTGAGGTCATAACCAAGAGTTGGACGCTTAACCGACTGAGCCACCCTGGTGCCCCTATTAATTTATTTTAAAATAAATTACTTTAAAAGAAAAATATAAAATAAAACCTCATTCCATGTGAACATAACATTTTTTACTTTAAAAAAATGACATTTTCCACAATGAAAACATTTAACAAGAAGACCGGCGTTGTCCTACCATTTCGCAAATCTCTTTCATATCTGGCTTAATAGAAGATGGCTAGATCCTCATCCTCCTCATATTGGCTTCTGCGTTCAGTCGGCTGCAAGATCACATGTCCCAGGGTTTCTGGAAAAGCCCCACTGTACACTCACAAGGGTGGAAAAGTCGAATGATGCTTTAGCATTATTATGAGAATAGTTTTGACTTCTCAGTTCCCCCGGAAGGGTCTGAGGGACCACACTTGAAACTGCTGCTTTCTTCAGGTGAGATCCACCACAAGGTGGCAGGTCACCCGGTGAGCACTGCAGGCCCAGCCCCAGGAGCTGGGAGTCTCACGCAGTCCTCTCTCCTCAGGGCTGGGCAACCGGAGCTACACAGTACGAGGTTGTGCAACTTCCTCATGGTGCCAGAGTCTCCACGTGGCTGAAGCCTTCAGTCTGACCCTTCTCAATGTCTCATGCTGTACTGGAAACGGCTGTAACCACCCAGTCCTGGGTCACCAGCCCCGCATGGGCGGGGCCCCCCGGCCCGGTCCTGCCCACCTCAGCTTCATGGCCACCCTGCTTATAACTGCCAGACTGTGGGGAGGCACTCTCCTCTGGACCTGACGCCCCACACTCCCCCTTCCCTGGCTGGATCCAGAGGAGCCCTTTGCCCTCCCCTCAGCTCCCAGCCCTGCTGACTTGCTGTGTGACCTCAGGCCAGTGTGCTGCCCTCTCTGGGTCTCACTTTGCCCAGCTGTCTCATGGAGTTGCAGAACCAGGGGAGAAAAGCTGGAGAAGCCTGCAGGCCAGCAGGAGAGGTCTTATGTTAGCATTGTTGTACCATTGTTGTCATTATTAATATTTGTTTTATTTAATATTTTATACTTAAATAAAGATTTTTGTACCAGAGAACAAGACCTGATCTTCCCTTCCCCATAGCATCTCTCTTTGGGAGGACGAATGGGTGGGGGGGCACCTTTTGCCCACCTCCTGGAATTAGGGGTCACATTGTAGGACCCAGGCATCTGGGGCCTCAGCCTTGGGAGCAGTTCTCCATGGGCTTCCATCCTAAGCCACCTCCACATCCATTTCTTGGCTCCAACTACCTCACTCAAGCACTAACCTTCCAGTCTCTTCTCCTAAGCTCCAAAGGTCAAGACTATTTTGTTATTCTAAGGAGAGGCATCTGCATTTCCTAGGGGGCTCTGAGACCTGAGATGAATGGGAGAGATAATCTGATGGCCAGAACTCCCTGGGGGCCCTGAGGTGAGGAATCAGGACTACATTTCCCCAGGTGCCCTGGTGGCAAGAGATAAAAGCTGGGCTCTTATTCCTAGGATGCCTTCAGACTGAGAAAAAGAACTCTCGTTTCAGTTGGCACCCTTGGGGCACAATATTGAAGAATTCACGTTTCCTATGATTTGCTGAGGCAAGCCCAAAGGGACAAAATTACGTTCCCCAGGACCCTATGGCTAATGAAGAAAAGGATAAGGCATCTTCCATGGTATTTGAGGGCAGGGAAGGGACGGGTTTCTTTTTAGGACCTCCTCAAATCACATAGCACTGAGCATCACTGTGGTGGCTTAAAGAGGTGGCCTCAGTATCTCCACCTCTTTGAACGTGCGTGGCTCTGGGACTGCTTTGACCATGCCACGTTCTGGGCTTCAAGGAACTGGCTCTGGGGAAGCCAGCTGCCATGTCAAAATCCTCCTGCGCTGAGGCTTCCGTGCTCTGCGGACGCCCACACTATGTCATGCATGGACGCCATGTGGGGAGAGAGCCCCAGATGTCTCAGCCATCTCAGCCCAGACACCAGACAAGTGGGCGAAGGAGCGGCCCTAGACGTCGCAACCCCAGCAGATGTAGCATGCAGGAGAGTCGGGAAGCCCAGCTGTTTTTGTTTCCCAGGACTGCCGTAGTAACCAACTTTCAAACTGGGTGGCTTCCAGCAACAGAAATGTATGCTCTCAGAGTTCTGGATGCTAGGAGTCTGAAATCAAGGTGTTGGCAGTGCCACGCTCTTTCTAAAGTCGCTGGGGAAGGATCCTTCCTGGCTCATCCTGGCTCCTGGGGGTTGCTGACAATCCTTGGTGTTTCTGGGCTTGCAGCCACGCTACTCCAATCTCTGCCTCTGTCCTCACGTGGCTTTCTCAGTGAATGTGTCTGTGCGGCTCCAAATCTCTCCCTCTCCTTACCAGGACACCACTCATTGGATTTAGGGACCCATCCTGGTCCAGTGTGACCTCATCTTAATCCTATCTGCAAAGACCCTATTTCCAAATAAGGTCACATTCATAGGTTCTAGGGGTTAGAACTTCAATGTATGGGGCGGGGGGGGGGGGGGCAGTTCAATCCACAACCCCAGCCAGCAGCCAGAGCCAAGGTTTCAGATTAAGTGGCCCCATATGAACCATCGTACCCACCTCCAGCTGTTCCAGCCAGCCCATTTGGGCCCCGGTTCATTGTGGAGCAGATATGCACTGATCCTGCTGTGCTTTGCTCAAATTCCTGACCCACAGAATCGTAAAATAAAAAGGTTATGGTTTCACATCACTGAGTTTTGGGGCATTTTGTTATGCTGCAATGGTTAATGGGAATAGTCACTTGTTTGGTAGTTTGCTAACCCTCCCCACTATAATCTCCATAAAGGGCAAGACCTTTATTTGCTCACTACGACTGTATTCGCAGTACCGAGATGAATAATGCCTGGAACATGGCAGGTAATTAAGAAAGAAAAGAGGGAAGGAAGGACAGGAGGAAGGAAAGATCACATCTTTAGTCTCGTACAACAAAAACTGGCAAGAGTTCTATCTCTCATGACGCCCTACAGCAGAGATGAGGCCAAGATAACATTTTCTGAGCTGCTCTACAATTAAAATTGAGGGTAGTTTCCCCTTTCCCATGACTGCCTACCACAGGAGTTGGAGGCTAGGATTACATCCACCGGGATGCCCTCCAGCAGAGCCTGGAGGCTAGGAATACATTTCCCATGATGCCTTGCAGCAGGAATGGAGGCTAGGACTGCATCTCCCATGAGGCCCTGTGGCAGAGACTGGGGGCTAGGATTACATCTCCCAGCATGCCCTCCAGTGAGGATCAGAGGTTTGAAATACGTGTCCCATGATGTCTTACAGCAGATCTTGAGGCTCAGGATACATTTCTCGTAATGTTCTACACCAGAGCTTGCGATCAGGACCTCATCGTTAATGGCTCCCAAGTTTTTGTTCAGGGATTTCGGTTGCAAGAAATAAAATCCGCTTAAGCTGACTTAAGCAAAACGACATTATTGGAAGTTTAGAATCCAAGCAAGAGCTAGGTCTCTGGGCCTCACTAGGGACAAGAAATAGAATTGAAAAGCTGTGTGAAATCAAGGTTGTCTTCCTTTTGCAGAATTTCTCTCTCTCTCTGTCTCTGTCTCTCTCTTTCTCTCTCTGAATGTGTGGTTTCCCTCCTGGGCTTCCACTTTATTTTTCTGTCTCCGCATAGACCCCCCTTCTTCCACCTCACACACAGTAGCCAAATATGCCCTTGAAATGTCAAGTACCAAGAACTCCTTGTGTCCCAGTTCTAAAACTTGAGCTAGCAGACAGACCCTGATGGGGTCTAGTTGGGGTCAGTCCTCTGCCTCCGACCTTCTCTGCTACAGCCAGGGAAGTTCACACCTAAGTCAGGAAGCTGGGACAGTTGTTCAGGTCGTGAACAGGCATCCACTGCCCCTGCAGCTCTCGTGGTATGCAGCCCACTCAGCCAGAGCTGGAAAAGCAATCTCTCTGAGACGAATCCTACCACGAGGACGGGAGACCAACTGAAAAAGTGAACTGTCACTCAGAGTGTTTTAATCAGCAAGCAGGGCTGCCTCCTGCTTTTTTATATTTTACATGAATATATTTTATATGAATATAAAATATATTTTTATATATTTTATATGAATCAGAGGCAACACAGAGGCTAGGGATGTACGCAACCGGACACCCAACTCAAAATGGTTGAAACACAAAGAAGAAATTGATTATTTAAATGACAAGAGATCATATCCTAAAGGATCCATTCAGGCTTGTCCACCTCATGGCCCCAAGATGGCTGCTGCAATTCCAGACATCATAGCCACATTCAGAGGCAATAACAAAAGGCCATCTCTTCTTGGGTCTCTTTTTTTTTTAAAAACAAAGAGAATTTAACCCAACACTTGCAAGCCAACTTGCCCTCACATTTTATTTGCCTGACTTGTTTCATACACATATGCCTACAACCATCACTGGAAGGGGGCATGGAACCATCATACTGAGCAAAATATATGCAGACCCCACTCCTGAGGTTTCCCTCGCATCATCTGGCTACTAAAGAAAGGGAGATGCCTGAACAAAATCAGGATTCTCTTAAAAAGGAAAAAGGTGGGGGGGCCAGGGGGCACCTGGGTGGTGCAGTCAGTTAAACCTCCGACTCTTGGTTTTGGCTCAGGTCTTGATCTCAGGGTCCTGAGATCAAGCCCTGCCTTGGGCTAGCGCTCAGCACTGAGTCAGCTTCAGATTCTCTCTCCCTCTCCCTCTGCCCCTCCTGCTCATGTTCTCTCTCTCTCTAAAATAAACAAATAGGGACACCTCGGTGGCACAGTCGGTTAAGCATTTGCCTTCAGCTCAGGTCATGATCTTGGGGTCCTGGAATCGAGCCCCGAGTCAGGCTCCCTGCTCAGCGGGGAGACTGCTTTTCCCTCTCCCTCCAGTGGTGCTCTCTCTATACATATATCTCTCTCTCTCAAATAAATAAATAAATCTTTTTTAAAAAAATAAACAAATTAATCTTTAAAAAAAAAAGGAAAAAGAGGGAGAGAATGTGTATTAGGGGGAAAAAAAACACCCAGTTTTTCTCCCATAGATGGAAAAACCCAGTTCTTCCCACTGTGTCTTTCTCCTGTGTGCCTCCTTTACCTTCACTGTCACACTCACAACACTTCTGGTCACCAAATCTGAGGGAGTTTTCCCACACCCAGCAATTCTCTGTGACATGGGCTGGGTGTCCTACAATTGAACTCACCTCTGACATGATCTACCTGGAGAAGGCGTCAGATCCCACAGGCGAAGGGCTCAGGCCCACAAGCACACTCCTTTCCCTAATTCAGATGCCGAACACAAGTGCAGGCTGTCACCTGTGCTTCTGACCCACTGGTTAAAAATCAGAGGTTCCCTTGACCCCCTCTCCGGGTTGGATTAATTTGCTAGCATGGCTCACAGAACGCAGGGAAACAGTCTGCTTACATTTACCAGTTCATTATAGAAGGATATGACAAAGGATACGGATGAGCATCCAGGCAGAAGTGAGGCATAGGGCAAGGTATGTGGGAAGGGGCGTGGAACTCTCCACGGTGAGCACTTTCCCAGCATCTTCACAGGCTCACCAACCTGGAAGCCCCCCAAACCTTGTAACTTTTGCAATTTTATGGAGGCTTCATTCCATAGGCATGATCATTCTCTAACTCCATTTTCCACCCTTCTCCCTTCTCAAGAGAATGGGGGGCAGGGCTGAAAATTCCAAGCTTCTAATCACAGTTTGCTCTCTTGGGTGACCAGCTCTCTTCCAGGAGCCGTCCAGAAGCCCACCCAGAGTCTCCTCATTAAAATAAAAGACACTCTGGGGCGGCTGGGTGGCCCAGTCGTTGAGCGTCTGCCTTTGGCTCAGGTCGTGATCCCAGGGCCTGGGATCGAGCCCTGCATTGGGCTCCCTGCTCCGAGGGAGGCCTGCTTCTCCCTCTCCCACTCCCCCTGCTTGTGTTCCCTCTCTCGCTGTGTCTCTCTGTCAAATAAATAAATAAAATCTTTAAAAAGAAAATAAAAGACACTCCTATCACCCAGGAAATTATAAGGATTTCCAGACCTCTGTGCCAGGAACCAGAGGCAGAGACCAAATACATACTTCTA